AAAATGTATAAAACTTTGCTATTGTTGTTGAAACGAATTATAGCTTTGATTTTAATGGTAATAAATAGTGATTTTGTGATTGAAATTAGTTTTACAACAAAAGCTTAAACGGAAAAAGTTTGCGCTTTTGGTTGCGCTCTATTGAAGTCAAAGATGATAACTGAGGCTATGATAGTGAGGGTCAGTAATAGTAGTGATAGCAGTGGTAGTAGTGATGATACCTTTCCTTTGAGTCTCACTTCCGTTGAGGAACGTGTGGTTTAGCCTTAAGGCAAACGTGTATCGCACGCGCCTATACTCAGGCTCTCTAATATGTTTCCGGTGCTCTAATTTGCAAGATTTCGGTTCACTCTCTCAGGTATTTCCGGCTCTGATTTGCTTTAAACACTATAATAAGCATCTGTTGAAACGTTTCAATAATTAATAACTATTCAAATGATTCCCTTCTCTATTGTTTGCCTTTGATTAGCCTTCAAATCAGCAAAACTTTGAGTTTTGTAGCAAAACTCCCANTGATTTGCTTTAAACACTATAATAAGCATCTGTTGAAACGTTTCAATAATTAATAACTATTCAAATGATTCCCTTCTCTATTGTTTGCCTTTGATTAGCCTTCAAATCAGCAAAACTTTGAGTTTTGTAGCAAAACTCCCAATTGTTTTAAATGACTATTATTTATAGCTTTCAAATAATCGGATATATTTATATATGCAGTGATTTGCGATCTTTTCTGATTGTTATTTCAATTAACCCGAAATATAGTGAGTGAAAGCGCGGCTCAATTGCGACGATATCTACTGCCATCACAACAGCGCCAGAATCGCGGCCCTCGGCGTCAGAGGACGACATTCACTCACGAGCAGACACTCCGGCTTGAGATGGAATATCACGTCAGCGAATACATCACAAGAGGTAAACGCTTCCAATTGGCAGAACTGCTCGACTTAAGCGAAAATCAGATCAAAATTTGGTTTCAAAACCGCAGAGCGAAAGACAAACGCATCGAGAAAGCCATTGTTGAACAACAGTATAGGTCTGTATTGATCACCGTTTAGACTTAAGTCCGTCTCTCTCTCTCTCTCTCTCTCTCTC